CTTTTGTGTTTTCGTGTTCAGAGGCTCTTTTGAGAATATCACTGGGTGCCTCTTACTGGAGCTTAAACTGTGCTGCTGACCTCACGCTTCTGGACCCTCACTGCGCAGGGTCAGAGGCCAAGCTAGCCACATCGATTTCCCCCTATGAAGAAGTCTTTAGTCCCACAGCACTTCTCCTAAGGCCCCCCTCACACACTCCTGTCCGCACAGAGCTGCCCGGAGAGCCAATTGTGCCGCGCTGGGATCGATCCAGCGAGCGTCCGAGGGGCCTCTTGGTTAAGCGGCTCTCTCTCAGATAACTGACAACTACAAAGCTCTCCTCTTGACAGGCGCTTGTCAATACAAATTTCCACTATTGATAAGTAATTAAAGAAAGGCAGAGCATTCTGCTCCTCACTCCAACATCTGTTAAACAGGACCTGTAAACAAAACCTCTCAAAAGGCTAAATGAACCCCCTCTGTCCTTCTCTAGAGCCCCCTGTAGTTTTAAACCAATCCAAATCATATTAAAACGCTTTCAGTTAGCTGCAGCTTTAAAAACTCCATTGAGATAAAAGGTCCAATTCTGCTCATGTACTTTAGTACAAAAGAGCAAAAGTTTCCTCATACTCCAAATTGAGTTCTACTAGAACCTCAAAGACTCAATGAAATTATTGTACAAACTTGATTTCTTTAAATTCCTGGGCTATTTTTCTTTTTACATTTCACACAGTTTAATATTTATCCTGGGCTATGTTATTGGAGTTGTTACTGGAGTTATATTAATGACATATCACACTGTACATTCATAAATCCCAGGTTTGCATTCTTATGTGCATATTTGCATTGTCAGTATCACTGATTGGACGAACACAGCGAGTGACTTGTCTTGCATCATATAAATAGTATGTGCCATCCAGTTTGTCTTGAGTAAGCTTTTGGACCATAACTGTAATAATAAAATGATGTCGTCTTCATTTAAATTAACGTGTTTTCCATCACTTCCGTATAACGTTGAACATAATTCGTGAACGTTTCTGTGCAGACCTGATGAATATTTAATGAGGGAAGCACTGTTCAGTTTTGCTGAACAACTGCCTGTTACGTCCTAAAAGGGTCGTTCACACAGAATGCGTTTTTTTTTTTTCCACTGCACTGATTTTCCTAACATGTTTGTTTTTCTAATATGTAAACATGCACTAGACGGACATGTTTGATGTGTTTGTCTTTTGCAGCATCTTGCACATGACCGACTGATATAAAAAATGAGTTAAGTTAAGCTCAGCTTTAGACCTTACCTTTTTCATTAAAATGTTTAGCTTTTAAAAAACATGACTTGAGACCTTTTTAAACACAAAAATGTGTTTTGTGTTGAAAACTGCGAGACGTGAAAGAAAACGTAAGGTCTAGAAACACTTTAAGTTGAACTTATTTTAACTTAAATTTTACTCCTGTTTTAAAAAACATGAGACGCAGGGTAATGGAACGGGAAAAAAGGGCTTTTTAATAGTTAAACTTCAGTTTTTGCACTGCGTTTTTAGAATGCTTAGTTCGTCAAACACGTCCATCTAGTGCATGTTTATATAGAAAAACAATGGAAAAATCAGTGCAGTGGAGTTTAAAAATGCATTCTGTGAGAACAGCCCCTAACACTGCATCCTTTCACCTTCAGTATTGTGATGTGGCTTTAACCCTTTAAATAAGGTGCTAACCCTTTTCAAAAGTGTGAAATTGTTCTCTAAGTGGGTTAAAAGCGGGACCCAAGAATAAAGAGTTAAATATGAAAGGCCCATTTCTGTTCTAGATATAAGTTTTCCTAAATACCCGTTCTTTCTTTTTGAAAAGCTTTTTCAAAATCTGAAGCTATTTTATAGGTTTGAAATTCTGTAATGTGTTTACTCTAGTTTGGCCTACGTTTTAAATGCTGCTAATCTGTGTCTTTGTAAGTGGATCCACTGGCACACATCCTCTAAACCCCTTAAACTCTACAGACAGGGCCTAAACCTCCAAAGCTCGACTATAGCTGGCCACCAAGACAAATTAATGGGTTTGCATCCAATTACACCTATGTAAATAAACATCTGAATGAGAAAATTCCAGATGCATCCACCACTTTGTGGTCTCTTTAAAGCCGTTGAGTGGGTCGGGGTAAAGCCGAAACGCAATTTTAGTGGGCTGGAGATGAAAACGCAGCTCTCATTACGGACTGAGCCGGAGTTATGAGGTGGGGATGGTTTGTGTTTGGGGTTTGGAGGGGGCACTGCTCCAGGGTGGTGGTTTTCGGGGAGGGGGTCACACACAACCAGCGTCTTTGTGTGGCTCTAATCCTCCCAGCCAACACAGCTTTGGCCAGGTTTCATCATGAAAGTGCCATGAAATAACTACTTTTTTTTCTTAGCAGCAAA